TGTGGTGTGTGTGTGTGTGTGTGTGATGGTGAGTGTGTGTGTGATGGTGAGTGTGTGTGTGTGTGTGTGTGTGTGTGTGGTGTGTGTGTGTGTGTGTGTGTGTGGTGTGTGTGTGTGTGTGTGTGATGGTGAGTGTGTGTGTGATGGTGAGTGTGTGTGTGTCTTAATAACCTTCATAAAACATACTCCCAATTCTGAAGTGTTTCCAGATTCAATTCATGTTTTCGTTCTGGATACATTAAGCATTCTGACCATCTGTCAGCAAATCAAGCACTGAGAGGATTTAGGACAAAACAATCAGTTTTTGAGCTGAACTGTCCCTTTAAAGTAGGTTTTCGTAGACTTAGAGAATATGAAACTCGAACACTTCATTGGTCCCAATAGTTGAGAGAGCTCGGTGTGTGTCCAGCCATCAGTCTGCCAGCGCTGACGGTGATGTTCAGAAACAGGGGACATTTGAGGGGACGCTACGCTAGGAAATATTCCTCGACTCAATGAATGTAATCTGCAGAAAGGCTGCATGATGTCTGACGCCGGGGTCAGAGGTCAGGCTTCACACTACCATGACCTGAATTATGATTGAAGTGTTAAGATAACACTCTTTAATGTGTGCAAACAACTCTTAGCAGAAGCTGAAGTACATACAATAATCCTGTTTCTATTGATAGCTTTTAATCTGGAATACGTCGTAGTCCTAAAAAAGTGTTTACCAATCAGAAATGGGCCTCAATTGAACTTGTTTGTGCTAGACTAGGATTACCTGAAGCATATCAAAGGTTTCTGTGTGTGCGTGTGTGTGTGTGTGTGTGTGTGTGTGTGTGTGTGTGTGTGTGTGGTTACACTGAAGTTGGTAAGCAACAATATCAGATTCTTACACAAAATATTTTGATGTCTCATTTATTTAAATACATGCATTTATTATCCCTATCTTGACAGGGACCATCTGTCCTGCCTCTGTTCCTCTCTCAGCAGTGCCACACTTCACACGTTGTCTTATGTCATTCACTAAATGTGTTTTCAGAATCAGGATCGGATCAGAATATCTTTATTAGTCCCACAGAAAGAAAATAAACCTCTGATCTCTTCTTTCCTGCAGGAATGTCACTCAGACTGTATCGCTGTACGGCTTTTCCAACGGGCTCGAGATCATTCTGAAATGTATGCAGACGGGGTCAAACACACGGCAGCCTGTAGGAACTGATCTGAACCGAAACCATGCCAACGACAAACCTTCACTTTCCAAACCGACTGAATCCACTTACAGCTAACTCTCGACAGCTCCGGGGATGTTCCCCCTTTGAAACACTCCCTCAGCCGAGCACCCCCTGTCCGACCCCCAACATTTTTGATCGAAAAAGCCAATATAAATAATTACAATATCGTGCCGTTCCCTCAGTGTGTGATTTATGAACTCCTTCATGCACGAATTACAAACTAAGGATATTTTCAGTTTTTCAACTGAAGTAATATCTGTTTAATAAACTAATGAACAAAATGATATATTGTGAAAAACTATAAAATACAATACACACATTTCCCCTTGGTGGTTCTAGGATATTTTATACAACATTGTGTTTTCTATTTAACTTATTGTACTAAGATTATTTTTGTAATCATGCATGGGTTTTTATGAACCTTTTGTTTAAATCTCACGTACCCCCTGCAGTACCCCAACGTACCCCTAGGGGTCCGCGCACCCCCATTTGAGAACCACTGATCTACGCTAAGAAAAGGATCAACATGTGTTGTCCAGAATAAACACAAGGAATGTTTTTGTTGCGTGCAAAATCTATTTGAACGCATTTTGTGTTGGCCCAAAAAAAGCATTTCAGTCAAACATACTTTATCATATTCTTAGAAAGCTTGTTTTGAACATGCAATAAACAGATTTATAATATATAATCCCCATTTAAAGTGATATATTCAGACAGTTCACCCACAAGGAAACACATGGGCCCATAGGACCGTTTCAAACAGCATGATGGAATCTGAGCTGACAGAAAATGGTTTAATACACAGTTAAGCTCACACACACTTTTATATGAACATATAGATTCACCTGCTGAATTAAAAACTGTTCTAAGACATTTTTTAAGACATTTAGATGTTTGATAGAAAGTGAGAATTATGAAAGGAGTTAGGAATGTACATGTTTGGGGGGAAATAAGTCTGAATTGTTTGGAGCAAATCAGGATTATGAAAAAAAAATTGCGAATTTTTGAAAAACATAAATAAATCTGATTCTGAGAACTTTCTAAAGAAAATGATCATAAATAAAATAAACATTCACAAAGCAGATTCAGGCGTTTAGATCCTCACTTAAAGTATGAGCCCACAGAGCAGACACGTTTACAGAGAAGAGATAACATCTGATCCTTTACAGCAATATGCTCTTCTTAGGTTTCTCCTAACACCGGAATCCTTTATCCACCATTCTGAGACATTGAACAGTAATCTGATTACATGATGTCACTGTGAGGAAGTTACTGCTGTCCGTTGGAGAGAGGACCGTGTGCTGAGAGGGAATCCTGATGAGTTTGTTAGGGAGTGGTCGTAAACAGCAAAATGCATGAAAGAGGAAAAGTGTTGAAACAACGGGAACAAAAAACTATTGGTGTCTATTTTTGTTCCGTAGCTTTGGGTCCGTAAGTGTACGTCTTTGCATTGTCTCGTCTTATACAAGAATATTGAACAAGAAAATCTAAATGTGTGTATCCGTGTGTGTGTGTGTGTGTGTGTGTGTGTGTGTGTGTGTGTGACGTCTCTGGAGGTCGACCCGGGGAATGATGAGGTGGCGCTTTCCTCCCTTTCTTCTTCCACTCTGCCTCGCTTTCTTCTGAAAGACAGATTTGCATTCCATCCTGTTCCCTGTAAAAAAAAGGAACAGGCAGACACATGGATAATGGGAAGGTGTGTGCGCGCGTGTGTGTGTGTGTGTGTGTGCGCGCGTGTGTGTGTGTGTGTGTGTGAGTGAGAGAGAGAGGGAGGGAGGAGGAGGAGCAGTGAATTAGAGGCTTGCTTGGCAGTCCTCAGACTGTGCAACGTGTCTGCTGCGCTGCTTCAGGATCAGATGTTAGCGCTGCAGCTCCTCTCTATAATGTCTGCTTTCTGTTTAATTACAGCTCACCTGCAGCCGGGCCGGCGCTGCACAGCTTCTGCAGCGAGGGGGGGGGGGGGGGGGCGGTAGAATCGCCCGTATGAACCTTTATTTGGGGGGAAATGCAGCCGCTTTAAAAAGGGCTTTTATTATTTAGAGCCAATAACAATCATAATGTCTGCGAACCCCGCAATTGTGCAGGTATTTCAAAACAGAGGCGGGCTCAACAGCTCGTTTAAAAAAGAGCAAACATCTGGTTCATGTGTACGAATTAGTGAAGCCTTTTTTACAATCAGCTGCTTCACCCTTTCATCCATCTATCTGTGGGTAATTTCAGTTTGTGGAAGAATAGAGTAAGCATTAAAGATTAAACTCAAGTTGTCCAAGTACATATCCTTGTGGAACGCCATATCTACCTACCTACCTATACCTACCTACCTACCTATCTATCTATCCATCTATCTATCTATCCATCCATCTATCTATCTATCCATCCATCTATCTATCTATCTATCTATCTATCCATCTATCAATCTATCTATCTATCTGTCTATCTATCCATCTATCTATCCATCCATCCATCTATCCATCTATCTATCCATCTATCTATCTATATATCCAAGGCCAAACATTCAGCTTCTGATCTCCAGGATAATCTTATAAACAGGCATCAGTCTTTTAAAAGGCAACACAATTGAGCTTTTAAGACTACAATGAGATGTAAACTGAAACCTGCCCAATAAAAAAAAAAAAGGTTGTATTTATTTGAGATGAGATGTTCGATGCTACATTAGCTACTACTAGAATAACACAACCAGATCTCTCACCCGTGTTGCATTGTGGGTGATGTAGGACAGTGATTTAAGGGTTCTGCTGATCATTAGTTTGAGCTGTTATGAGGGCTGCAGCCCCCCCTCTGCTGTGGATGTGAAAGCTGATACAGGAGAACTCAACAAACATGAAATGAGATAACAGTTTTCAGCATTCTCAAAAAGTAAGGTTTGCAGTTCATGTATGAATAGAGCAGTCCTGCCCAGTCGAGGCCTCCTTCTTCCCGTCTCCATGCAGCAATTTCATGTTAACAATTGTCTCAATATGCCGTCAATGTAAAGTCGTAAAGGAGACGTAATATATCCCAAACTGAAAATGCACAAACATCTTGTTGCCTCTCTAGTTTTAGCTTTTTGCTCAAAGACAATCCTACATAGAAAATGAATGTAAAATCACGAGAGCCGTGCAAACAAATAACTATTCCTGTTGTTGATTGTTCAGTTACTCAAATGTGTATTCTCTTTATCCTGTGAACTCTTACCTGTCCTATCCGTGCTTCCCTTTCCCCACAGGGGTTAATAAAGGTTTATGTTATCTTATGACCACAAGTGAATTAGTTCCAGAAACAACAGCTAAGTTAACCCTACAACGAAACCAAACACCTCTGACCCTGCAGACACGCTCATGTTCACCGTCTGAAAACAATAAGAACACATACATCCTGAAGACTGATTTAACACCAACTGCCACACACTAGCCTGAGCTGCTGTGACCTTAAACTGGAGCCATTCTCCTCCAAGAAGTCTACTGAAACTCAACAACAATCAACATCCTGAAACCAGAACCAGAAATGAAAGTCAGGATTCGACCCATTTCTGCAGGATGAGCTGAAGTACTGCAATACCTGCATGAACTACATTTAAAAATAAAATAAATGGATCGAACCGTCCTGTTCTGAGACGCTTATCCATTCTCCCTGAAGAAGTCTACTAAAATCCAACTTAAATAAAATCAGAAAGTGGACCAGAACCAGAAAGACGAGTGGAATACCTTTCACCTGCAACCTGATGTAAAACAAACTACAAGACCCAGAGTCAGGAAGAAGACCCAGAGTCAGGAAGAAGACCCAGAGTCAGGAAGAAGACCCAGAGTCAGGAAGAAGACCCAGAGTCAGGAAGAAGACCAGAAATCACAGTCAGGATTAAACAGGTGTCTGCTGGAAGAGCACATTATGTGAAGCACTTGGACCTAAAAACCCCCAAAACTGGACTAAAACTTTATTTGAAAACTAAAGAAGTCTCCAAGTCGTCTGAATCAAAGGTAATCAGGAAGCAGAGCAGCAGCAGAAATCAGAGTCAGGATTGAAGCAGTGTGCAGGAGCAGATCCTCGGTGCTCTTCAGGGTCAGGTTTCTGCAGCTCAGCCCCCCTCCGGTCGGCTCTGGAGTTATGGAAGGAGGGCCATTCTGTGTTTTCTGTTTTTTCTGCTTTGAAGGAGGGGTCCGCTCTTCCCTGTTGGGGTGATGAGGGTGCAGTTCCCGGCACCTCCCCTCCTGAAGCCTCCCATATAAAAGCCCTGGTGGAAAGTGAGTGTAGGCAGTAGGGAGTTTTCTGTTGGGGTCGAGGGACAGTGAACAGACGACGGACCCTGCCCAAACACCAGTGTATGAGTGGAGTGTAGCAGGACAAAAAAACATCCCCAACTTTTTTTCCTCTTTCCTCGAAGAGTCTACATGTCTGGTGGCATCTAGACATGTTCAGCTTTGTGGATATGCGGCTGGCGCTGCTTCTGAGCGCCACGGTGCTCCTGGTGCGAGCACAGGGCGAGGACGACCGTAAGTCAGCACTCTAACGGAGAAACCTTTGCCTTTTCCTGCTGCTTTTTAAACTTTTTGTTTTGTTTTTTGGATGGTTGTGGATTTTCTCTTCGTGGGTGGACGGCTGCTGAGATCTTAGACAGAGGAGAGAGTTTGAAGAGGAGATAAGAAACTTTGATGGGATCTACTCCTAGATAGATAAATAGATAGATAGATAGATGGATAGATAGATAGATAGATAGATAGAGAGAGAGATAGATGGATAGAGAGATAGATAGATGGATAGAGAGATGGATGGATAGATAGATAGATAGATAGATAGAGAGAGAGATAGATGGATAGAGAGATAGATAGATGGATAGAGAGATGGATGGATAGATAGAGAGATAGAGAGATATAAAGATAGAAAGATAGAGAGATAGATAGATAGAAAGATAGAAAGATAGAAAGATGGATAGATAGATAGAAAGAAAGATGGATGGAGGAGTCTCTGCAGGACTTTAAACAGAACAGGGTGTACGTAATGCATTGGGCATCTTGAGAAGGCCCCTCTCTCTCTCCCTGTGTTTGTCTCAGCCTCTCTAACCCCCCCCCCCCTCTGATGCACGCATGCAGAGCGAGTTACTGCAGGTTTTCCAGTCGTTCCTCCAGGCGAAGCTTTTCTGACTGAGAACAGCAGAAATGCATGTCTTATCCAAATTGAACCCCAAAGAACAGCAGGTTTAGTTTGACTTCTTGTACGTGGCATTTTGTTAATTCAACCCCCCCTTAATGATGATGTCCCCCCACAACAAGACTCCCAAAGGAGGGTAAGAGAAAGAAAAGGTGGGATGGTTTGGGATGGTTTAGATAATATAGGGTTAGGGTTAGAGTTAGGGAGCAGCCCAGCTTCCAGGACTGGAGGACATAGGGAGAGATGTCCTCAGACCTGATTGATGTGGATTCACCGCCTGGAGCCAAGTGATGAGTTGGCCAGGTGAGAGGGGGAGGAGTCAGAGAGGGAGGGGTAGTCTCGTCTGCCGGAAACATTTGACCTCCACAACCTGAGCAATCTTCCCCCTTTGTGCCACAGTGTAGAGTCAGAGCGAATACAGCTTCTCCAGGACAAAGAAACGGTGGAGAGCTCAGAGTCACTTTTTCCAGATGTTGTCTGGAAAGATCTCAGCTGTTGAGAAGCAGATGTGGTGTCAGAGCGCCACCCAGAGGCAGCTAAAGGTCCTGCAGAAACATCTGGCCGCCACGTCCCCCACCCCTCCTCCTCTTCCTCCTCCTCTTCTTCTTCTTTCCACTCTTTTTTTTTTGTTTCCTCTAATTGCAAACACATGCAGTGTTTCCAGCAGCTGGTGCCAAGCCGCCGCTCTGAGCTCAGCACTGAGGCATGCTGGGAGGTTTCTAACCCCAGAGAGGAGGCCCAGTTTCAGTTCAGCTGAGAAACGCTCAGTGATGCAACGCAGTGACTCTGAGTCAGAGCAGAGGGGCTGAGGGTTTGAGGGTTGAAAGGGAAATGAAGTCACGTTTGCTCCGTGCTGACGTGACCTCTCCGTCACCTGTCCTCTTTCTGCTGAGTTCATCAGATCGGCTTCATGTGCTCACGACACTGCCGTCACCTTTCTCCTCTCTTCATCACGCCCGTGTCAATATATTGCATCACATGTTTAATAGCTTTTATTCAGAGCAAAATGGGGTTGAGTATTAAGTAATAGGACTCTTCCACATGTTGACTGTAGGGATGGGATTGCACCAGCTCTGATTGGTCGATGCAGATTGAACCCTGATGCCACGTAGATGATCTCATTATCACCCTTTTAATGCTAAGAGTGATCGAACGAAAACTACGCATTTCATTTGTAATATCATTCTACATTTTAGGTGGAGTGTTATTGGTTGAAAGTATGTGAAATCTGGAAAGCCACGGACTGGGATGTTACATCCGTTCAAATGCTTCTAGAGATATTTTATAAATATATTCAGATTTGAGTTAAAGACACTTTCTAGATTCTTATAGTCTTTTGTTTGGATGCCACTTTCAATCACTGCTTCCTTTTAAGACTCACTTCCACCTCGACCCTTGCTTTGCATTTCTGTCCACACATGCATGAATTTCACCTGTCCCTCTACCTGCCACCCCCCCCATAGGTACAGGTGGCAGCTGCACCTTGGACGGCCAGGTGTTTGCGGACCGAGATGTGTGGAAGCCTGAACCCTGTCAGATCTGTGTGTGCGACAGCGGCACGGTGATGTGCGACGAAGTTATCTGCGAGGACACGACCGACTGCCCCAACCCCACCATCCCCCACGACGAGTGCTGCCCCATCTGCCTCGACGACGGTACTGCACCCTCATATATACAGCCAAATACATGCATCAAACTACACCCGTCTACATCACTGCACCTCTTCTACACCTGTGCTAGTGTAGAATATCATAGAACTGCTCTATGTCAGCAGGTCCAGCTAAATTAAAATAGCAACCCTGACGGTGCATTTCCAACAAGATGTAAACAAATATAGATTGCTGTATTGATGTTGCTGTTATTGATGTGTGTGCTATGTCCATGATGTTGTTTAATGTCCCCTTCATTCACTTCTTATTCATTTTACATTTCTTATTAACAAAAAAGAAAATCCCAAAAATGTCCCGTCTTTTTTAAATCTTTCACATTTGGCTGTAACGTGCTGAAATGCATTCTTTGCTCACCTTTCACTCCAAACCTTTTCTGATCAATTCAGGACGTACTTAAGGACTCTTGTTTTCACCTCTACATCTATTGTTTTGTAAGATGTCGCTTTTCATTTCTAACCCTGTTATCCTCCGCCTCTCTGCAGGCTTCCAGGAGCCACAGGTTGAGGTAAATATTCATTTGATTCATTATATAATCCATAATAATGATGATTGACCATATCTGTTCCATGTAGCTATTGATAGTAATATTGATCATTGAGAGTTAGAACATATGATTATCAATTGAAAATGATATTTATTTAATTGAATGTAAAGATATTGTTAATTGATCTATATCAGATACAGTTATTTAATAGACTTTTATGTCTAACTAGTACCTTTTTTTGATCTGATCCCATACTCTATGAACCATGTTGATCATTGTTCTCATTATGTATACTTTTGTTTTTGTTTTGTTCTCTTATAGGGACCCAGAGGAGAGCATGGAGCCAAGGGAGACAGGGTACGTCCAACACTCCTTTAACATTCACTTTTTAATCTGTGGTGGTGCGTTCACTGTCTGAGTGGATTCCTGAGTGTTTGTGATGGGGTTAGGGCAGCTGTGCAGAGAAACGTGTAGAAACAGGATCTTCCTGAAGAAGTAGGAAAGTAACAGCACTCAGATTACTCATGTCAACAGAAGCTAGTCCAGGTAGCATCAGATCTCACTAGCATCGTTTTTATAATGGCTTTTGCAAAGCGTGCATAAACACAGGTTCGAATACAACATTAAATGGCACATATAGATCCTGAAATGTGTGTAAATCAGGGCAGGACATGTGCTTTAGTGAGAGCAGTGAGCAGGGAGGGGAGCATGCAGAGGGCAGGTTGAGACGTGCACACTGAGGAAGACGCAGGACAGTTTCACACAGAAAAGTCCAATGACCTGTAATCATCATAATGCTCCAAACATTACGGCAGGCTTTTGCAGTGGTGATGCCAATCTATTTATTTAATAATGTTTGCTATGAAAACATACTTTTAAAATATTTGTTATGTATTTATAACAGATTTGTATTTGGTCATTTATTTACATTCTGACATAAAGGGGTTTTATTGAGACCGCAAAGACATTTTATAATCTTCTAATAATAACTGAATATCATATTTATTATGAATATTTTCATATTATTTACTTTGTCAAATTAATTATGAACATTTATTTGCAGTTGTTGATCAAATATAGAAGGTTTCCTATAAAAAAGTAAATGGTGGTTCTTACCTAATTCCTGTCTGCTGAGGTCACATGCCCACTAGTCCATTCCTGATTGGTCAGTCTCACAGGGGTTTGAACTGCCCCTCCTCCAGGTGTAATGCTGCTTCCATCACTATAGACACACCTGAGATATAAAAGATTACACACAATGATGAATGAAGACTAAAAGCAGTCACATGATCGGTTTGAACCAATCAAACAGTTTAGAATTTTAGATTTGATTTGATTTATTTTGAACGTGTAAAACAATAATACAAAACAGACAGACAGACAGACAGACAGACAGACAGACAGACAGACAGACAGACAGACAGACACACACACACACAGACAGGCAGACAGACAGACACAAAGCAAGGGTCGAGAAGGAAGGGAATCTTAAAAGGAAGCAAACATTTAAAGTTACAACCAAACCAAACAAATAATAAGAATCTAAAGAAAGTGGATTTTCAGTGGATTTAAAGAAGGTGATTTATTAGGATCCTGACCCCTTCCTCTTCTCCCCCCCCCCCCCCCCTGCAGGGTTCCACTGGTGCCTCTGGTAGAGATGGTATGGATGGCCAGCCCGGCCGCCCCGGCCCCCCCGGCCCCCCAGGACCCCCCGGCCTCGGAGGAGTAAGTTGCACATCTTATATTGGCAGTTCTGTATGTGACTCGTTGGGCTCCAGAAGAGCTCCGTGGGGACTCATGTGAGAAGCTTCTGGGAGTTGTGGCGTCTGAAGAACTTCTTCCTCTGTGGTGGTCAGACAAACAGATGAAGAAAACAAAGCCATAGAAGTATTGGTTAGTTTTCTCTCCACTACACATAATCCCTATTTGGGGCATTCACACCTCAGGGCTTTGGTTTGACTTTCTTTGCTCATCCAAATGGACCAGTACCAACCCGTAAGAGGCTGTCAACACAGCTTCAGAGAGGACAGGAAGTGCCGAGAAACTGGATCCCACTTCAACAAGCGTTTCATTGATCTCTAAAAACCCATCTTTAGCTTCAGATAACTGTCTGCGTTTGGCTTTCAGACTGAGGTCAGACTGAGGTCAGACTGAGGTCAGACTGAGGTCAGACTGAGGTCAGACCTTCATTAGGGGGAAACAGAGTTGGTCTCGAATGATGCTCAAACTCTTACCACATCTATGCTAACATTCCCAAAGCTTCACAATGTAAGTTAGCATGCTAAGATCTGGTTAGCCAGCAACTGTTATACTAAACTAACATTCCCATTGACCCTCATCATAATTCAACTTACTAAACTAATATCCCCACTAATTGTGATTTGTAGCTTAGCATACTGAGCTAACATTTGCAGGCTAATGTTGGTTTATTATGTAGAATTGATCATTGGCTCATATACTAATTCACTATGCTAAGCTAACAGGGCATACAGTATTATCCCAGTGTTATTAAGCATGCTAACAGAGAGACATTAACTAGCATGCTAACACATATTGCTAATAGTATCACAGTCTAATCCAGCAAGCTTCATTACAATAAGTTTATTGTTGATGTCTATCCTATTTCTGGTTGTGTATGTAACATGCTAATATGACATACCATGCCAGTCAGATGTAGCATGCTTGTATCGAGCTAACCAATGACTCAAAGGCTTATTCACCACCCAAGACTACAGTTTCACAATTTAATTAAGCATGCTCTGATTCATTTTGTTTCTGACTTCCATCCTAACCTACCACAAAATATAAACAACAGACTTCCATTGAACACGCTAAGCTAACAGAGTCGCTAACGCCATCAGCTGCAATGTCTCATATTAAGCTCTTCAGCATCTAAGATCGAGTTTAAGATAGATGGATTTATTCTTTATTCATTGTTTGGGATTCATTAGCAAGAGATCATCTCAAAGGGTTTGGGATTCATTAGAAGGAGATAATCTCAAAGGGTTTGGGATTCATTAGAAGGAGATAATCTCAAAGGGTTTGGGATTCATTAGAAGGAGATAATCTCAAAGGGTTTGGGATTCATTAGAAGGAGATAATCTCAAAGGGTTTGGGATTCATTAGAAGGAGATAATCTCAAAGGGTTTGGGATTCATTAGAAAGAGATAATCTCAAAGGGGTTGGGATTCATTAGAAAGAGATCATCTCAAAGGGTTTGGGATTCATTAGAAGGAGATAATCTCAAAGGGTTTGGGATTCATTAGAAAGAGATCATCTCAAAGGGTTTGGGATTCATTAGAAAGAGATAATCTCAAAGGGTTTGGGATTCATTAGAAGGAGATAATCTCAAAGGGTTTGGGATTCATTAGAAAGAGATCATCTCAAAGGGTTTGGGATTCATTAGAAAGAGATAATCTCAAAGGGTTTGGGATTCATTAGAAAGAGATAATCTTAAAGGGTTTGGGATTCATTAGAAAGAGATCATCTCAAAGGGTTTGGGATTCATTAGAAAGAGATAATCTCAAAGGGTTTGGGATTCATTAGAAAGAGATAATCTTAAAGGGTTTGGGATTCATTAGAAAGAGATAATCTTAAAGGGTTTGGGATTCATTAGAAAGAGATAATCTCAAAGGGTTTGGGATGGTCCTGGCTGAACTGAAATGATGGGATATCTCAGAACACAGATGGAAACAGGAAGCTGGTTTATATGTTCAGAAAGCAGCTTTCCCTTTCAGGATATCATTCAGACTTCATCTGGGAGATTTCGGCTGGGATGCCCCAAAGTTAATTTAAAAAGAAATATTATACCCAGAGTGCATCCTTCATCATATAAAGGTCATGAACATGAATGTCTTCATGTCATTATAACCTAAGTATCATCCTGTGTGTCCCCTGAGAGCTGGATTGTAATATTTAAACCTCTTTTCCCTTTTTTCCAGAACTTCTCTCCTCAGATGTCTGGAGGCTATGACGATAAATCACCTGGCATGTCTGTGCCCGGACCCATGGTAAGACACACACCAACACACACTCACCAACACACACTCTCACACACACATATTTAACTGTTAATCAGAGTGATGCAGTGTCTGATGTTGCCTCTGTTTGGTTGACAGGGACCCATGGGATCCCGTGGACCCCCCGGAGCTCCTGGATCGAGCGTAAGTACCCTCTTCCTCTATTCAAAACCCAACAAGCTTGATCTTTGAGGATAGAGAAGTAGAGGGCACTGACAACAACTCAAACATCACCTTCCTCTCTTTGGTGCACTCACTGTTCCAGTATGGCTTAGGTTCATTTCCTAATTGGTCTAAAGGAGTTTGAAAATGCTGCAGAAAGTGTCTTGTGTTTTCAGACCGAATGCAGTTCACAAGTGCCCCACAGTAAATGGAAAGACACCGGGGATCAGTCTGAAACGCACTGAACTGAAAGCAAAACAATACATAGGTGTTATTGTTTCAGCTTGGGCCAAAATGTGCCACCTTTCCTTCATTGTTCTCCATGTTCCTCACTAAAATACGACTTGTCAGATCCAGGAAGGATCCTTCAAACTGTGCAGCCAGTCGGCTTTGAGCTTTGAGCTTCTGGGATTTACCAAAATAAATACGATATATTACAATAAATGATCAAATCTGGACTTTGCAGCAGATTCTGGGAGTTTAGTTGGAGCCAGAATTTATTCATTTTTCTATTCAATGAGTTTTCCGGACAAAGTGAGCAGACCACATGAAACACCTTTCTGGGATGAAGGACCCTGAAACGAAACCAAGCAAACGGATCTGAACCAAGCTCAAATAAAATTCAGAAAGTCAACACTTATTTAAAGTAAATTGGAATTGAACCAGGTTGGATTTAGATTGGATCACATCAGATTAATTCTTCCCAAATCTGAAAGAAGACTACAAAATAAAATGTTCACCTTATGATACTTCACATGTACAGTATTGGTGTTGTATTAATGGTGTTTATGCCCCCCCCCCTACAGGGACCTCAGGGATTCACCGGCCCCCCTGGTGAGTCTGGAGAGGCTGGATCTTCTGTAAGTATTAGCATAATGGACATTGATATTTACCCACAATTCACCTTGAGAGTCTGTCCTCATTCTCAGTGTTTCTGTCTCCGCAGGGTGCCATGGGACCCCGAGGCCCCGCCGGACCCTCTGGCAAGAACGGAGAGGATGTAAGTCCTTCTGCTCATATTCATTGATCTCAGAGAAATAATGATGAACTCTTTTACATTCAAGCCAATACTTTCATCTTAGTTTTGTAGCTTCAGGTTTTGAATGCCAGACTTTTACTTGTACCTCAATATCTTTACAATCGAGTGTTGCTAACTTCATTTTAGTCAAAAACCAGCACCAAAGACTAACTTTCTCCATCTCTTAGGGTGAGTCTGGCAAGCCCGGTCGCAACGGTGAGCGTGGACCATCCGGCCCACAGGTGAGTTACAAAGCCAACGAGCAAACCTTATATTCTAATTGATGCAATGTTGAAGAAAGCTGTGGTAATGAATGTGTCTCCTCTTTCTTCTCTTCCCTCAGGGCGCTCGTGGATTCCCAGGAACTCCAGGTCTGCCCGGCATCAAGGGACACAGAGTGAGTCCAAGCTCCGGTTCAACGAGACACGACCATAGCATCTCCGCTAGCCGAGCGCTAACTTTAAACCTCTCTCTCTCTGCAGGGATTCAGCGGTCTGGATGGAGCCAAGGGAGACGGCGGACCCGCTGGACCCAAGGTGACTGCCTCTCTCTGAAACATGACAGTACAGTACTCTTAAACCCATGCATCTGGGTATCTGTAAAGCCTACCAACACACCAACTATGTAATCACACACCTGGTCAGTATTTATAGGCAGCCTTGGGCCAGAAAACCTGGGATTCAACAAAGCCGGCACAAGCAGGCTTATAAGAATATAATATACACATACATGTCCACTCAACATGTTGAGCACTACCTTTGCAAGCCAATGAAAGCAAATGGGGCTTTTTCAAAGGGCTCGTAGAGAAAGTCATTACATGCATTCTTATTATATATTAAGAGCATTAGGGTCTTGTGCCCCCTTGAAGAGTGACACATAGGGAGCTACAGAAGTTGAGGAAACCTTGATTTGAGTCCCTTACATGAGCTCAAACTAGCATCTATATCTCCTAATGGCTTCTTTTCTTTAGACTTGTCCGGCTTCACAAATACCCATATCTTGCAAACTCCACTCTCCCAGTTTGTTCTGCAGAGTTTCTGTAATAAATATGTGGTTTTGAAGCCAAACTCAAGAACACTTGTCCTCCGTACGACTAGGAACAACTAGCATTAGCAGGAATGGAAGCAGCTATATCAGATTGGCTTTGAGTAATGACGCTACACTCCTTCCTCAACTCACCTGTTTCTGTCTTTAGGGAGAGGCTGGATCTGCTGGTGAGAACGGTACCCCCGGAGCTATGGTGAGTAAAACAAACGCCCCCTATCTGACACATGGATGCTATCTTGGATTTCTCCTCCTTTCAGATTGACGCCATTTTAAAACTAACGGACTCTTTTTCTCTGTCTCAGGGACCCCGTGGACTGCCCGGTGAGAGAGGTCGCAACGGTGCTTCTGGAGCTGCTGTGAGTGCACACACACACACACACAC